ATTGCCCACCAAGTGCAATGGACACTTTCACACAGATGGGCCTAAATTAAGCACCTTTTATGTCATGCAAACTACAACCTCCTTTTCACTAGTCATGAGCTTCCTCTTTTTAGCATTCCTTCCCAGCCCATTTCTGCTCTTGATAACACCAAAATGTGTGAAATGATCTCAGTATAAAGTTACATGCCTACAGGAAATGAAAAACAGAAAATATTTTGTGTACAAAGSGCTTGGGCAAAGCTCAGCATGATCATTAAAACAGGGCATAAAGACATATAAAATTGATAAATTTTATAGATATATATAATAATATAATAATATATAAATAAATTTTTATCAATAAAATTGATACATTATAAATGCTCACAATTTAGAAGTATCATGTTTTGACTATTTCCAAAGTTGGCCCAATTTTCTCATATTCAAGAAAGTCTTCAAGACGCCTCAAACATGGAGTTTCTAACTTTGTGGTTATAAGAAAATTGTCATTTTTCCTAAATGCACGGAGTGTTTGACGTTCAGTTCAAAAGAGCAGATCATCCTTTCACTGACTGCTCTTACGGGGCTGTTTTAGATGGTGGTAGATCATCGCACACTGGGACACAGAGCAACTCACCCGCTCCCGCGCGCGGTACCCCGGCGGCAGCGTCGCCTCCATGTACTCAACTTCTCCTGCGCTTTGCCCCTGTTTCAGAGCAGAACCGGTGATTGACTCAGGCTGGCTCTGGCATAGTCCCAAATGAGCAAACTAGAAAACAAGCAAATAAATCCCATCAGAATCGTGCACAGAACTGTATAACTGTATGGCCGTTATTCCCATTTTTGGTGTTACTCCACCACCTAGTGACCGTGCAAAGACGACGCTCCCACCGCATAACACTSCATCCCTACCTTAAAAACACGACTTAGATGAGTAAAACAGGAAAAAAAGAGCACAAAATATTATTTCCCCAGGAATTTTCTGTTTATATAATGCTGTTTATATGAGGGTAGTTAATCTATTACAAGCCCTTTCGCTGCAATGTCTTTTTCTACACAAAGTCAGGGCAATGCTACTGCTTTTTTCGCGCAGCACTTGAGCACGGTGGCCCTGTGGTGCTGGGGTGACACCGCTAACGGCTGCAGGGATTAATGGCTTACTCGGCTGTGTTCCCTTATGTCTCCTTTTCCCTCAAACGGGGGTCAGGAAGCCTTATTTTCCTTCAAAAATGCAACCAATTCCATACTGCAGCCGGGGGCTCCCTCGGCTAAAGGAGACTCTTCATCCCGCACCAGCTCCCTTGAGGAAAGGGACCTGGGAAGAGGTGACAACCGTTGGCAAAGCTTTCGCTCTGGAGGGCTGACATTTAAAAATGACCCCCTAAGAGATGGGTCCCAGGTTCTCCCACCTGGTGGTGGCCCCGGTCCCTTACCCAGGCGCCATCCTGCTCGGTACAGGGGTTGGCCGACCTGCCCTTGCCCATGGCTCCGTGCAGGCCGTGCCGAGAGCACCGCGGTTGCCATGGTGGCTGCCTCGTGCGCCCACAGAGACCGCAGCGTGGCCCCCAATGCCAAGGGATTTGCATGAAGGCCAAGAGGAGCCGCCATTACGTGGTGGGGCGAGCACCATGGCTGATACCAGAGCTCCCTGATGAGAGAAAATGCTCATCTGAGTGGAGAGACCCTCACTTTGTGGATGAAAACCACCTCTAGAGCTGCTGCCTCCTCCAGGGCAGGGGAGGCTTCCCTGCAGCCCACAGAGACTGGGTCTTTCCGAGGGAGGACAAAATGGAGGGATGGCAGCGCGCAGAGCGATGGGGCCAGGCCCCACCAAGACCCTCYTTGTCGCTGCTGTCACCCCCCACCTGGCACCAGATGCTCTTCCCTTCAGAAGGACATTGTCTCTTAAATGGGGATGTCAACAAAAGGCACTGGTGGGACTGCTCTACCCTGTTCTGCTGCCACAAGTGCTCCCACATGTAGCAGCGACACTCAGAGTAGTTGTGTCCAACCGAAGGACTGCGCAGAAGCCCAGCAAAGTCCAAATTGGAGCCTCCTGCCCTTGTGCTTAGCAAAACACAGTCCATAAATTAGCAATAAATCATTCTGGCCTACGTACTCCACTCAGGTAGCAGCATCATCTAAGTTTTGCAAAAGTTCATGGGGAAAAAGTACTTAGCACCTACCATTTTGTTTTAAAATGATTATTGTAAAAGCACTCAATTAAGGCTATAATTACCTTTCATGTTATTATGAGCAAACACAGGGGTTTTGTTTGTTTGTTTTCACTTGTAGTTAAATCTAGACATATTTACATTTCTTTGCTGTGAGAATAACATTAGCAAATTTAATGGCTAAGTGATAGCTATTATTGTCATGTATTGAGAGTGATTACAGCCTCTTTGATGTTAAAACATAACAATTCTTAGTGTGAGTGTGGAATGTTTTATTCATGCTTTAACTGTTCAAAATATTTCAGTATTTCCCATTTCTTTCTAATTTATGTATGTTGCCCCCTATAAATTGAATTTTCATCAACCTAATTCTTCATTTTTAGGAATGCAAATATATTTCAAGTATATGAATAACATAAATGCAAATCTTAAACTGTGATTTTGATGGAATGAATCTTTTAATTTAGTTCCTTTTTTTTTTTATGGATGAAGGAGTAGAGAAGTTCTTTTTCTATGTATTTCACAGGATGAAAATCTGAGGCGTGGAGAGACAAAGCCATTGCTTAAAACTTAATGAGCTGTAGGCAAGACCGAACTTCCCCCTAATTGAAACAGAAACAAAGACTTTGCCTCCTGAGCCTTGATAGASGGCTGGGAGAATGATGCTTCTGTGGTCAATGGCATGGGCCTTTTTCCATTATATAAATATTCAAGGCTAACCTAAGCGGGAATCAGGCACCGTAGCTGGCAAATGAAACAAGAAAAAAAAAACTATACGGTGCCTGTATTAGTTAAATATTAATGATTCAGACAATCACCCATTTGTTTTAAAGGAAATTTCAAAGCTCCAGCTCTAGTTCTCCATCTTACTAACTACCAGGCATCGGTAATGATATTTTGGAGTACAAGCTGCCATCAGGCAGTTTTTCAAGGCTCTCTTATAAATGACCTACTTTGTTTCTAAAAAAAAAAAAGAATCTGTTCTGTTGGGAATTTTGATAATACATGTAAGAGCGATGGTTTGGGTGCTCTTATTTTTAATGATGCCGTATGGTAAATTACCAAGTACRACAATAGGTAAATGACTTGGATAAACTACTTTTATGATGATTTACAAAGGCTAATATAGAACGTGCATATGAAAAATAAGAGAAAGTAGTTTTGATTAAGAAAAAAAATTGTAAGCAGGCTGCATGTTTTAAAACAGTTTTGTGACTGGATTGTCATTTCAGCCTTGAGTTTGATGAACTGCACTGTGTAAACGTGCCAGGATTAGATCAGAAGGCTGTGAAGATAACTCATGTTATTTTTAAGACAGGGGAAGTCAGGGACAGGAAGAACTAGAGGATTAAAACAACATGACAGGCAGGAGGAACTTTTGATTTGCATTTATTCCATTCTACCTATTTTTGGATTCTGTAACCTAGAATCTATTCTTGCAAACTCAGATAACACCACTCTGGCCTTAAAAGTATTACTTTTCTAAAATTTTCTTTTTCTTTCTTTCTTTTTTTTTTTTTTTTTCTGAAGGTCTGCAAACTGTTTTATATTTGTTGTTGTCTTCCAGTGGGATAAAGCTGACAGAGTCTATGGATCACTTAGAAAGGTCCATTCCTAGCACCATAAAAGGATTCCAAAGGAAGGCAAGCAATAAATAACTGAGTTTATTTAAGAGTTCTGCCAAAGTCTGCAGTGGCAGTAGGCATAGGTCCAATACAAGAGCCAATGGACTAAAACTGCTTTGAGATAGTATCTTCATGTTTTTTTCTTAGATTATATATATCCATCTTCATGCTAATGTGAATTTCTACATATGCAATACTCTTATTTCTAAAAGATATGCTTTATGTTAGTTAGAATAGGCGAGACTGGAATATTTTAGCTTCATTTACATGGGCAGCAAGGCACTTTCTGTCTGGCTGCCTGTCTGGCTGTCGAAGGATTTTCAAACCTACAGGCCACTTCCAGTTGTGAAAGAAGCAAGTGATTTTGAAGGCAGTTATGATCATTTAGGGCTAATGGGTATCAGGATGGGAAGCAGCCCCATGAGGAAAGGTGCTYGCTTGCTGTGTATTCACCTCAGGAGCACCACACCAGACACGGTTCGTGTAATTTTCTGCCCGGCCACAAATTGCACTGTCTCTCTTGGCATGGATGCATAATGACGGAAACTTGTGGTTTGGAGCAAAGGACACCACGTTAGCAGGGAAGAATTAAAGGGCAAATATTAAAATCCACTCAGTAGCTATTCATGGAACAATTTGTTTGCTCCGAACACAGCTTGGTCTTTCATTGAACTGTGTGCAACGGGAGACAGCAGCCACTCCTCACGCTGCATTTTAAGGTGATCATCACCACATTTTTATTTCCACTTTACTCTGAAATTGTTTTCCCTTTACAGTTTGCAGTGTGTCAGTACGCACGACAACCGCGCTGCTAATGCCTAGCGGCCTGCTCTAGTACTGATCTGACGCCTGGGGAAGGGAGCGGGGAGCCCCTAGAGCTGTTGAGGGCCCCCCGGAACGAGCGCGCGGCCACGGAGACTCCGAGCGCCCCGCGCTCCCCTCAGCGCGTCCCGCGGCGGCGACACCGCCCGCTCCCCTCAGCGCCGCGCCGCCCTCACGCCCCGCCCACCACCTCTCCCATTGGCCAGCTCCCGACAAGGCCCCGCCCTTCCTTCCAATCGCAGCCCATCTAGCCTCTCCTATTGGCCAGCGCCCTGCGAGGCCCCGCCCCGAGCGGCTCCTGGGACTTCCCGGGAAAGCGCGCGAGAGGTGGCTCGGCCCCCCCCCCCCCCCCCCGTCCCGCCGCGGGGCCCGCGCCGCCCGCCGCCGCCAGCGGAAGGCGGGCGGAAAATGGAGGTTCCCTGCGCAGCCGGCGCCGAGGCGCCCAGGGGAGACGCGGAGGAGCCCAAGCAGGTACCGGCTGCGCGGGGGGAGCGCGTAGACCAGGCCGCTCCTGTCCGCGGGAGGCCGGGCCGGGCGCGGAGGAAACGCCGCCCGCAGCGGCGTTCGCCGGGGGCTGCGAGCGAGGCGCGGCAGGGCACCCGCTAATTAGGGAGCAGCGCTAATTGCGAGCCGTGCTTTTATTTTATTGTTGAGCGGCTTAAACGCTAAGCGCTGTCCTGTGGAGCTGTTCTCTCTCAGTCTGCCCCCGTTCCGAGCGTGGAGCTCGCGGGYACCCGTGGGCCGCGGCTGCTCCCTCAGGAAGCAGGGCCGTTATACTGAACAGGGGTAAACGCTTCGCCACGTACTTCATATCAGGCCTGGGCGCTAATCTGTAGTCCGTGGGGAGCTCGGGGGGCCTGAAACCCGCCTCGTGCAGCGCTGTCGCCCCTCGGAGTGAGCGTGGGAGTGACGCAGTGGGAGTCTGTGGCACCCAGCACAGGCTTGAACACGTCCAACTTGGGGAGCATAAAAGGGCATGGGCAGAGCGGAGAGTAATTGCAGAGCCCAGGGCATTGCTTCCCCCTCCAAATGGCCTGTCCTGCTAGGAGTGAGTAGGTGCAAAACAGCCTGGTGGCGTTAGCTCATATTTTTGTAAACCAAATACTTCTTTTCTTTCCCTTTACAACCAGAGCTCGCTCTTGTTCCTGGGAGGCAATGAAGTGAAGAGCAGCGCTGTGGTGAAATACTCCTCTGCGCCCCCGCAGGCCGCCTTCGCCCGCCTGCAGGAGAAGACTGACCTGAAACTGCCACCCGCAAACTGGCTACGGGAAAGCGCCAAGCTGGGGCCAGCCGGGACAACCATTCTTGGCAACAACAAGAAAAGTAAACCCTTTTCAAGGTAAGTGCATCATTTTCCTCCCCCTCCCCAGTCTTTTAAGACTAGGTTTGACACTGACCCCATGTATTTCAAAGTATTCTCCAGCAAATATACATTACATTTTCTTTACCCTGCTCCCTCCTTTTATTTTTCCTTGCTTCGTGACTGTATGCTGTTATTTATAGATATTCAAAGTTGGTGGTGGTGTTTGTTTGTTAAATGCGTATTGGCATCCTGCCTGAGACAGTCAAGCTAAATCCTAAATGGTTCTTGTCGTGTGGTCAAAATCAAACCAGCCTTGGAGTTTAATACTATAAGATATTGGAACAAATACAGGTCTTCCCTGATGGCTGAGCAGCCACTTTGGCTAATTTTAATTGTTAAGAATGAAAACTGTCTGACTGATGGCAAAATAAGCTTCGTAGTCAAGAATATGCATAGCAGTTAAAAGAAGTGGCAAAGATAAAAAGCAATAATAATCTTTCTGTGTGGATGTTTGTTAAATAGCTGGATGAAGTGAATAGAAGGAGCTTCTAAATAGGGGATTTAGCCCCTGTGCTGAGCAAGCAAAAATCATGCTCAGCTGGTTAGTGAAATTTAGCAGGGTGCAGGAGGTCTCTGTTTATATCTCTGTTATAATAATTGGTATAAAGTAACATRTGTTATTTTTCAAGTGATCTGACATGTTTCTCCCCCAGACTTTATTAATTTTTAAGTATTATTTTTATTTGTCAAATAGAGGCTGACAGATTGTACTTTCTGTCTCTACTTGCAGTGTTAAAAATGGAAAGAGTTAGAAGTGGAAGTATGGAAGTATGAAAGTCGAAGTATGAATTCAGGCATTTATATGTCATATATTTGATATGTCAATACGTGATTTAATTTGGAAGAATGATCTACATTTTGAAAAAGTAAAGTTTGAATAGCTTGTAATTTAAAGAGGTCTTAAGGGCGAGTTAAAATATAAGGAGGTGCTTGTTCAAGGAATTAAGCCAGTTTTATGTTTCAAAAACAGAAGAAAATGGTCCTTTTTATACACAAGCAAAATAAAATGACAACTGCTAAAAATAAAGAATAAAGCATGGTTAATTCTTTAAAGAGAGAAACGCTTTGAAAAAAATGTTTTTTGTTTGTTTTGTTTTCGTTTCCATGGGGAAGAGGCGGGTAGGTATCGCCTGGAACCCAGCTCTTACATTCATGTATGTGTTACGAGTTTGTTTTTAAATTTATTTCTTTCTAAGTATTTTCCATGACATCAGTGGAAAACTTGTGGAACTTCAATTTTTTTTTTTTTTTTTTTTAAATTCACTGTAGATCTTATAATGGTTAGTAGTGTTTAGCTAGGTTCTGTTTTTCAGTGAAGGAAATGCTTCCAGAAGCTCGGTGTGCTTTGGAGAACAAGTAGCTGTGTATTTCCTGTCACGCTGCATTCGTCTTAATTTGTGATRTTTTCTAAACAGCTTTGGAATGGCATATGACTTCATTGATTCGGTTGGGAATGATGTGGATGTTGTGTCTGATTCGGAGGTATGTATAACTTTGAGTTTCATGATTCAAACATTTGTGATGTATAAATCCTCTCTTAAGACAGAAGGACAGATCTTTGTGTCCTCTGACTAAAAGAAACAGATCTCTAATGAAATATAGACAAATCATCTAATTTCTGCTCTGTTGTCCAATGGAATTATGATCAYGGAATAAAAGAAATGTAGATAAAAATCTTATTTCCAATGCAGTTCTATAAATAATGTTTTGCTAAAATATGCAGGTCAGTGAATATGACATATGAACGTATAAGGCAGGTCAGCCTTGTGTGTTTGTGAAGTCAGTATTTTGATGACAGCTGTACTGGAAAATAGTGTGAATTTCCTGTTGCTGTTTAAAATCCAGGGACTTTAATGGCTGCCATCAACAATATTAGTGAATGGAAACACTTTCAGGTGGTGGCAGTCACTGTGATGCCTTCTTACACTTGGGGCAGTACAGCTGGGTAAGCCAYGCTTCAACATCTCAGTGTAAGGACAGATGGGTGAGGAAGAGAGAGGGGAAGGAAGGAAAAAATGGATGATAGTGGTATTATATAAGAAAAATGGCTGTTGTCACTGACTGACGTGAAGAAATAGTATCTGAGCAAATAGCTTTTTGTAGGTGTCATTAGAAAGTTGATTGCATGTATTAACCCCCCATCCCAGAAGTTGGACTGGCCTTCTGAAAAGGTCTGGCTCTTTAAGGTTTTGTTTGTTTTCCCRTGTCTCTCCAGTATTAGTGCCATGTTCTTGACTTAAAATTTCTGAGGAAAATTGTGGTTCTGTGGTTATATGGAATATAATCTTTGTTTTCCTTTCTCCTGTAAGAATATTAAAAAACTCCTCAAGATACCCTATAGCAAGTCACACGTGAGCATGGCAGTACATCGAATTGGGCGGACGCTGCTGCTGGATGAGCTAGATATTCAAGAGCTCTTCATGAGATCATCTCAGGTTAACCAGTCGTTTTCACTTAGTATGCCATATGGTAACAATGCAGTATTTCAAAAATGATGTACAGTTCTCTCATTTTGGTACACAGACACTGGTTTGCTACGGGTACAGAAAGCCRGCGTGAAGCAAATGTTGTCATTCTGCAGCAATCTGTTTATCCACAAGCTGCAGTAGAGAATCTGATGTTCTTTTACTTGTAATAATGTAGGATTAAAATTACATGTCTCACTTTCCTATAATTGCTTTGGTATTGTTGTACTATTTCATAAATTTTAATATTAATTATGTAGTATTAATCTCTTACCATGTATCTGACTTTCTTGCTGAAAAGTTGGTTTCATTCTAATATAACTTTGTCGCTAAACTTTCTAAATTATTTTTCTGTCCTTCTTTGGGAATGAGTGAGTATTCATAAGTTAAATTAGACACTTTGTTGTGTAGTTGTTTCTCCACATTAATTTCACGATTGTGCTATTGCCTAGACAGGAGACTGGACATGGCTAAAAGAGTTTTATCAAAGGCTGATTGATCAGAAATGGCAAAGAAAAAAGAAGAGTAAAGAGCACTGGTACCAGAAGGCTATACTTTCCAAATTTTTATATTACAGGTAACTTCAAGTTTTTATGAGTCTTGAATTTGCTGCCACCCTACATTTTCCTCACTCTTTGTCTAGAGGTGAAATGTTAGAATTGCACTGTGGTCTGTCTTAGTGCTTTACCCTTTTGCAGAGAAAATACAGGGTACTGGTTGGAAAATAACTAGAGTATCAATGTTTTAATAAAGTTTACCTAATACTTTAATATACTTTAATTTCTAAGTAAGCATGACTTAAATGCATGTCTCCAGAACTGTATCTGAGAGAAGATTCTGCAGATATCTGAAAATATTCATGATTCAGTAATATGGCAGACCTAGAGCAATGGACAGCTTGTCAATATACCAGTCTTTGAAAGTATTAGCCAAGCTGTTCTTTGCRAATGAAGTGCATTAAATGTAATTATTCTAAAGCAAATTGTGATTGTATATTGTTGACTGAACTTCTGATGTTCCTTTATCAGTATTAATGGTGATGGAGCTGCTCAGCCCGTTCCTTCCACTTCAAAACAGCACCAGGACAGTCCTGTTTCAGGTGACAGTGATGAAGTAGGACAGGCCTCCTGGCCAGCTCCCTTTGAAATGCCTTCTTCAATATCTGAAGATCCAGGTGCCTCGAACCAGGTTAGTGCCTTGCATTTTAAAGGAGACCTTGATTCTGTTTAGAGAGCATAAGGAGTCAAAGATTTGCAGAGGTGCTATTGAAATAGTCCTCTTTGCTTGGGGTGGAAAATTTGAGGYGGGGGGAAAAGAACAACTTGGTAGTGCATATGTTTTAGCTCAGGCCAATGTTGCAGAGCTCCAAATTTCAGAAATGCTCTTGTTTGTCACTTTAGTATGAAGTATGTATTTAGGTATTTTTGAGAGACAAATCAATGACTTCACCTGAAAGAACATGATAATTTTATATCCATTCAGGTGGTATGTGAAGATATGTGAGACTTTGGGCTTTTCTTTCTAAATATGCCATTAAAATTATGTGATAATAGAGCTAAGGATCTATTAAAATATTTACAATTACAGTTACAATTGAGTAACATGTACAGAAACTTGCCTTGAGACTACACAAGTGGAAACGAGAGATATTGCCATAATTATCCTACAAATTATGATAGTATTAGACTCTAACCCAGGATTTTAGTCTGTGGCTAAGATCGCATAATASAAGAATTGGTCAAATCTTTGAGAGATTGAAAACAGATTGTTTTCTKTCTATGTTATGATGATAACGATCATCTAGCATCATGCTTAGTTACACAATAGTACCAAATGTCTTGAGTAGTTAATTTATGAAGAGTCTAATTTGCATCAGTCATAACATTGTAGCTGTGTGGTATGGGCACATTCTGAAGTGGAGAAATAGTTGTACTCCAATACTTGAAAGTTTTTAGGAAAAGGACTGTCTGTGGGAATTGACAAAGCATTGCCAAATTAGGCAAACACTTTATCATAACATGTTGTGCTTTTATATAGTAACTCTTAAAAATAAACAAGACTTCATCATAGAAGACTTAAGGGAGATGAATAATCTGGTGCTGTCTCTGGTGAAATAAGTGGAGATGACTTTGGAGTAATAAGTGGTTTCTCTAAAAAGCTTCACATTTCTTTCTAAAGCTTAGAAGAATAAAAAATAAAAAAAAATTATATTTTAGTTACAAAAAAGCATTATAATTGCTGACTAGAGGCTTTTAATCATTTTATACATTTAGTAAGGCTAGCAGATGCAGATTATAGCTTTATATGGTGGATTTTTTTTTCAGAATATTATTTTCTGTACATATATTTTAATGGCCTAGCTTTACCTCAGCAGCAGAATCACTCCTTATCCGTGTGCTTTTCACAGGGAAGTGTGCCTCTTGAACCCTCATATATAGTGGGGCATGTGGCCTCAGCCCCCAAAGAACAAAACCTGACTACTTTGTTCAATGACGGGGAAAACAGTCAGGTATGCTACACGTGAAGTCTGAGCTCAAACACGTACCCCCCAATTCAATCCAATATGTTAAAATTTGGTATTATTTGGAATCAAGAGAGAAATGTAGTCCTTTGTAGAAGTAGCTTTTGGCATGTTATCTCAATCTTTTAAGTTAATGTGATTGCATAGCATAGTTCATTATGTACTGTCTTTAATTTGCTGCTTTAGCATCTTGCTTTCTCATAACTTTACAGATTGTCACCAAAAGCATGTTTTACAATAATGATTTATAGACCAATTTTTTTTCTCTTAATGAAGGGACTTAAAAATGACTTTGTTCGTAACATCTTGTGGACYTTTGAAGATATCCACATGTTAGTAGGATCAAATATGCCTATATTTGGAGGTGGGAGATACCCTGCTGTGAGCTTGCGTCTCAGGTGAATTTTGAAGTTACTGGGTTATATATGTCTGTACCAATCTAGCCTGACTTGTTGCTTTGCTTTTCTGTTTATCTAGCTCTCTTCTGTGTTGTTGACTCTTTCTTTTTATGTGCATTTTAAAGAAAAAAATAATTCTCTAGAATTAAATGGCAACGGCATTACGAAGTAGAGAAAATCAGAAACAATCTCAGGGCCCRTGTGACTCCTTGGGAACTTGAGAACCATTGCTGCTGCTTCTGGCTCTGTGATTCATTCCTGTTTTGAAGCACCAGTTAACAACCCCAGCTGACTTTAGTGCAAGTTTTTAGGGTTAAGGATCAGATAAACAGAGGCTTTCTAATTAACCTGTGCTTTGTTACTATTTTTATAAAGGAAGGAAGTCGTGATTCTTATTGACCTTCTGAATATCAGGAGCTGCTAGCTGGGCACTTGACAAACACTTAAACTCTGTAACTCTAATAGTTCTACCTTCTGCCCGTCTTACTTTTCTGTAATATTTCTTGATTACTTGGTTACTAGTCCTTCTGTTTCTGCCTGTTCATAGGCAAAGAATGAATGGATAATTGGAGCTTGTGTAATTGGTGTAATTATGTCATCTTTAAGACACGTGGTAATTACTAGCAGCCTACTTTGTAAGGAATTTTGAAGGGTGTATGAGAAGCCTCGTGCTGTGGTTAGTTGCAGCTAAGGCTACCATTCCTTTAACTTCTTAAGTACTTTTTATCTTGGCAGTAGTACGAAATGAAGCTTGTTAGAGTTTCAATTAAACGAGGGCAAGAATTCAGTTAAATGAGGGCAAAAACTCCAGTTTGCTCAGGGAATGGGAGTGTGTTTCACTGTACCTGGAGATATTAGTACATCTGTTTGATACAGCTCCTTGGTTTGACTTCTTAAAGTGTAACAAAACAGAAGTTGTTTTGGAATCCACCTGAGAGTGAGTGTGTGAGTGTGTGTGTGTGTGTGTGTGTGTGTGTGTGTGTATATTTATATGCCTGTGTGTGTGTATGTATTTATTTTAAAAGGCACGCAGGTGCCTTTATCTAATCTTATGAGTAAAATAGTTCTTGATCTTTTAGGAATAGCACATGAAGATTTTAAATAACACTAAAAATGTTTGTTTTTAGGGATAACAACAAACCAATAAACGTCTTGACAGGAATTGATTATTGGCTGGATAACTTAATATGCAACGTGCCAGAGCTTGTGATGTGCTTTCACGTGAATGGAATTGTTCAGGTGAGCCTGCCTATCTGCATTACACCTGCTTTATCCATTCTTTAGTTTCCGAAATCTCTCCAGTTGTAGCAGATCTCCTTCTGATCTTGTCTATTCTGACCAAAAGATTACAAGAATTGTTTATTTTAGAATGTGAAGCAGATTCACAACTTGCATCAATCTCCCCCAAAATAYTGGGATATCTTTTTCTCCCTTTCAGGATACCTGCTTCTACTGATGGGGATATGCGATTGAGACAAAATTAAAAATATACATGTACTAGCAAAAATGTTTTCTTAAACCTTAAGATCAATACTATTTACTTTCTGAGATAAGGATGGTTGTTTGTGTGCTTTTCTTGTTYGTTTCTCTTGTTTGCGGAGGGGAGAAGGATTTTTCTTTTATTCCTACTATTTACTTTATCTAAAGTTGTTATCCCAGTGAGTCCCTTTTAAAACTTCTCAGTAATGTGATTAAGATGCACYTGCTTTCAAAATAATTAAACCATAAAAACTAACTCCACCTGTTCTGCTGAAGTGGTGTTATTACTGTAGACTTTTTCTCCTATGCCACAGAAGCTGCTTGTCTTTGTGTCTGGTGGAAGCGGGGAACTCGGGAAGTGGGAAAGACAAATCAATAAAGCAACACTTCTAAATTTGGGTTTAAAATGTTTCCCACAGAAATATGAAATGATCAAGACTGAGGATATTCCCAATTTGGAAAACTCAAATTTCTCTACCAAAGTGATAAAAGATATTGCTCAAAATATCTTATCTTTTCTGAAATCCAATTGTACCAAGGAAGGACATACTTATTGGTTATTTAAGGGTAAGTAAATCTAGATCAGTTAAACAAACAAACAAAAAATTCCGCATAAGATCTATGTTAATGTCATGCTGATTAATTAAAGGTTTTACCTTTCAGCAAGTGGGAGTGATATAGTAAAACTGTATGACTTAACCACTCTTTGTGAAGAAACAGAAGACAAATACCAAAACCCTTTTACAATGCCTGTGGCAATTCTTCTCTACAAGTGAGTTTTCATCACTTTTGTTGTAACGCTTGCTTCTTGGGTGCAGTTGCCAACTTTGCAAGTCCAGAATTCGCAGTTGCAAATTTGCAAGTGCAAAAATTTAGTTATGAAGTGAAAATACATTCTTTTACGCACAGGACTGGTAAACCTCAATCTCACTGAATCAGAGATTCACTTTTCACTGCTCTTCACTGTTTTTCCATGTAAACTATGCTTTTATTGCTCAAGGCTTGTAGACCTTTTTAGAAGTTGAGGAAGGCTTTTTTGTGGCAAACTGGCTTAAAGCTTCTTGCTTTTTTTTTTTCCCCTTCTCTTCTCTCTCTCTCTCTCTCCTTCTAATCTGAAGAAATTACACAGGAATTTTGTTCAACTTTCTTTTAGAGTTGCTTGCAATATGATGCTGAAGAAAAACCAGAATAAGAAGCACTATGGCACTATCAGAACCTTGCTCCTCAATTGTCTGAAGTTGCTGGACAACGGCAGACATCCTCAGGTAAGAGTTGTATTTTCCTGTRGCTTTATGTAAATATAATGAGCATGGTCTCATCATCTCTGGTAATGTTCTGTGCAGTACTCTCTCTCCTAGCACAGCTCTCCTTGCGCAATGTTAAATATCAAAGTAACGTATTTTTAGGAGTATTAGATTTAATTTTTGTTGTTGTCTTTATCTGTAGTAACAAACGTGCTCTCTAGGTCCTGAGAAYTTATATTTTTTCTTTTTTTAGCAGTAGCCTGCACTGACTCTGTGTTGCACAAGTCATCTGCTCTAGGAAGAATTTTTGTCATTAGATATGTGCCTAACTGCCGCCACTAGCTTCTCTTTTAGTAACAGAAGATAGCAGGGTGTGTCTTGCTCTCTTCTGGATCTTGACTGTTAAGTCTATTTGCAGTCTGTAAAGTCATCTTAAATAGAGAAATCTGTGCTCAGAATAGTATAAGAAAATACCACTGCATTTAACCTAAAAAAGTAAACTGGCCTAGTGCAGCAGATGTGAAAGCTGATAGGTGGTACCTGCTTTATTCAGGCTRTGGTAGAACAACATGGCACCTTAACTAAGCATTTTAATTTTTTATAGCCACATATGCCATCACTATGAAAAGGGCTTCAGTTTCTAGCTGTGATACAAACTCTGTCTTTCTTGAGCTACCGATATAAAGAATGCAAAAATTGGAAGAAAGGATTGTGAGCACAAGTGGCTGCTTTTGTTTTTTGATGGCCAACTTCTTGCAGGTTTTAGAACTCTTGCTATGTTTTAGAAGTTAATCTAAATTATTTAAAATGTTAAATAATTTAAATTATTTATCTAAATTATTTAAAATGTTCAGGAAGTCAAATGCAGAACTTAATATCCCAAAAATGTAATCATCTCTCTTGGGACTCATGTCCTTTACTTGATTCTCAGTGGTAGTGAAAAGTACAGGCTCAAATCAAGAGATCTCACTGTGAAAGTAACTTGTGCTAGTTCTAGAAATTATGTCCCATTGTAACTGCTTTGTGTGTGTATTGAGCAATAATGAAAGTCTTTTTTGGCAGTCAGATCCTGCTTGAAGTGCTGAAATCCAAAACTTCAAGCCTGAAAGCTATTACTTAGCGCCTACCTAATCCTTGAGGAACAAAGGATTAGGAATTTAAGGTGGAGCTGAGTCACCTAAAGTTAAATGGTGCATCCCAGTTGGAGACTGGGTGCCTAAGAGCAGGTCACTCCGTGAGTTCTTGTTGCCTTTTTTCTAGTCCAGGTTTCCCTTGGCGAATCCGATGCATCCCTTGGTTTCAAAAGTCCTCTTGGGATAGGAAGGATATATGCACCTATGTGCCCTTACATGCAAAATAAGAGGTCAAAGACCCYGATGGGTCATCTGCATGTCCAGATAACTCTACAAGATCCAAAGAGGCAGGTTRTGCTCTAGATTTAGAGGTGTTTGGGCTTTTGTTTGCATCTGAGCTGGGAGGGTTAAAAAGGATGTGAACGGGTCTAACTGTAGGGAATGTGTGTGCACAAATCGTTAACAATCTGCAGTATTTTAAAATTATTTCTTAAAACTTTTGCTCAAGTCCATATTCTTAACAGAAATCAGTGTGTGCCTATAGGTATGTGTTTGTCCTGTTTGCTTCCTATCCTAAGAAAATAAATATGTTGTCCCTCAGAAGAAAAAAAAATCTTTTTTTTTCTATTTTTAAAGATTATCGCTTCAGCGAACTACATGTTATCAGAGCTTTTTCAGTTAGATGAACCTAAAAAAGAAGATGGGGCAGACTTCCCTATAAATGTTAATTCTGATGAGAGTTACAGTGAAGAAGAGGAAGAAATGCCGGATAGTGATGAAAATGGCTCTTATAGTAACAGCTCAGACCCTCCAGATGACAATAAAGCAGTGGCGATAATCAAATCAGTAGGGGAGCTGTCAGTACCAGAGAAATACAAGTCTGTTCATCGAATACGAGTAAGTGAAGGGGTGGATTTGGAGGGGCTGTGAGGGATTGTTTTTCAAGTGTTCGATTAAGTACTAAGGCTTTTTATCAGAATTTAGTTTTGTGTTGTTCTGTTTCAGTGTTTTGTATGTGTGTWTCAGGTTAATTAAAGCATATGAAGATCAGGGAATGTGAGCACTTAATAAATTTTCAGCGCTTTGAATTTTACAGTATAGGAGACTTAAACTAATATTGGTTTTCTGCCTTACTCTCTTGCACTTGTGGTTTTTATGGCAGGACTCGGTATCGCTCTTTACAAAAACATCATTCCTGTAGCAGCAATGGAGAAAGGATTGACCATGGCCACGTTGAATGGCAGCAGATGATGAAAAGACTGTGGGAACACAGGGGTTTTCGATTGTTTTTATTATTACTATTTTATTTGATACTGTTTTATATGATAATATTGCTTAAGGAAACAACTAATTTGGTTTGGGACATCTTTCAAATTTGTAGACTTGGTCTATGGCTTCCCTCCCAAATACAGAGGTCTGCATTGGTCTGCAATAGTCTGCATTGCAGACCATCTGTGGATACTTTTGCAGTTATTGTTAGGAGTGGATGCTGCTGTCACTTTTGCTTTGTATTTTGATTTACCATAAATGACTAAGAATAATTGTTTAAGTGTTGAACATTGATGGGAAATAAATGAATCCCTTACTGAGATCAGGGAAAGAAACACCATGGATCCTCTCGGTGTAGAGTTCACATCAACTTCAAAGTTATGTTTGTTTCTTACAGGTGTCAGCATTGAAATTCTGTATTTTGATTTTTTTTTTTTTTTTTCTTCTCTTCCTCTCAGCCTAGTTGTGCATTTCCTGTCTGCCATGGCACTGAGGAACGCTGTAGGCTCGTGCTGAGTTATGTCCTGGAGGTAAGTCTCAATTTTCTAATGTCTAACATTCCCCTTGCTTAAAGTACACAGCTTTTGGGTTGTTCTGTGATTTGCTGAATAGTGGTTTCAAGGTGAATTCATGTCGTTTGTTGTTCTGCAGGGCTTGAAATCTGTTGACAGCAGCATTAAAAAAGAAGGTGACCTTCCTGCAGCTGACCCCAGCACTCCGATCCCTTTGAAATATGAAGATGAATCCAACAGTGGTGGTCCTGAATGTCTGGAAAAACAGATGGCCTTATTTTTAGACAAAAGTAAGTTGTATTGTTGTGCAAATAAGACCTTCTCAGTTCTGCAGCAAACTCCTCTTGCTTTGTTTTGATTATCAGTTTACACTGGTTATTGAAAAAGCAAAAATCATAGAGCAAATGAGCAGAACRGGAGGACAGGCTGTGCCTTTTGAAATATGAGAAGAAATGCACAGGATCTTTGATATGCAAAGTACTCCAACTTCTATTGGTAAATATTGAATGTTGCTGCATCTTATCTAGATGTGGCTTGCAAATGACTTACGTAATGATTTAATATTTGRGGTGTTGAAAGACTTGTTCTGTGGCTCCGTGAACTTGTAGGGTGTGTGGGGGGGTTGTTTTGTCTTTACCCAGTCTTCATTCTTGTCACTTGAAACTTCTGAAAGATCTTCTGATAGTCTCTTCCTAAACGAACAGAAACAGAGGTCCTGAAAGACACAGAGCTCTCTCTAGGGTGAGAAGCCTTAGAGGCATAATCAAGAGAAGAAAGAAAAAAAAAAAGTATTTCTAGAATTCCTTATTTTTCCCTGTCATCCCCTTCTTAAAATCACGAACTAATGAACAAATTTGACTTTGAGTTGAAGTATTGATAGGTTTCTTTTCCAGTTTTATGGCTGTCACTTGAGGGCCAGTGACCTGGAGATGTGAAGCTGTTTTTTTCCAGTCTTTGACTATAGGATGTAACAACACCCCTGTCAGAAGCTGCTGTGGTTCTGTGCAGTGCTGTTAATGCAGCCTGTGTGTTTGATTTGTGCTGAGATCTCCCGGGAGCCCTCACTGAGGTCAGCCCAACGAGAGCAGTTGCTGAGGTCAGCTCTGCTGGAGCCAGGCTCTGCCTCCTGCCCTGTCAGCTTGGAAGCGATGACACATTCCAGCTGCTCGCCAGCTGGCAAGTGGCATGTGCACTTATTACCCCTTCCTATTTAGAAACAAAATTTTTCTGAGGAGTGTGGGCGATGAAGTGGTTTTTGTGACATCTGTGCAATGTTTGCTGGGTTTCTAGTTCCGTACTGAAGTTTTTCCCTGAAGCAGCCATATACTGCTGCTTTGGGTCACAAAGATTGGATTCAGCATAGTGAGAAAAATAAAGATAAGGGRGAAACTTCTGCTTTTCTAGAAGATGTTTTATGTAAATTGTGTAGTTTCAGTAGGGGAAGTAAAAGAAGTGTTTTGGTATATAGAAAAGCTGCTATTAATTGCTGAATTTCTAATATAAAGCAATTTTTCTTTTTTTGGACTTTGGTATCAGGATTTCTAAGTGCAAAGTCAGAGTCTGCTCTTCCTGAATCTATAACCACTCCATCATCAAAGAAGCAACCTTCATCTAATGCTGCAGATAACTTACAATCAGTGTGAGAAAGAACAGACAAACTAAAGGTCTCCCTTTAGGAGGGGCTTGGTTATCTGGTTTCTTGTGTATTGGAGATGGTCTCAGGCCGAGCTTGCTTCCACTTATGGGCTGTGTTGGTGCAAAAATAGAGAGCAGATTCCATGGATTTGGTTGAAAGCAAAACTGACTCTGTTAGTGGCTCGATCTTGTTTCTTCTACTGCCACTTAGCAGCAAAGTCTTGGCCATGGCAGCAGTGTTTCGAGGGCACTCGGAACATGAGAGGTATTGATGTTGGCTGTGCTTGCTTTGCTCAGACATCCTGCTACGAGGTGAAGTGTCGGGGGGAGTTCCAAGGATTCATTGCAGGTGAAAAATGCAGCAGCAGCCGGGCTGGCAACTGGGGCTCATGCAGGGCTGTCCTAGTGCCTGTCCTCCAGGGAGGTGGGACCAGACCTCTGACACGGGACATGGAATGGGGGGTTACTAAGGGGCTTCTCTCCGTCTTGCAGTGGGCTCCTTTCCGAAGGGCCAGCACTGCAGTCTCTCGGGAATGATTCCTGGATCCTGGCAGTATAAAATGAAGCTTCAGCTCATTCTGAAGTCGTCTAAGGCCTATTACGTTCTTTCCGATGCTGCTCTGAGCCTGCAGAAATATGGGAGAGCTCTGCGATACATCAAGCTCGCTTTGCAGTGCCACGGTGAGTTACCAGAACACGTTTCTGCTCTGTGCAGTTACTTGCATATCCCTTTTGCAATGTCAAATAYTTCTTTTATGGACGATTTATCCTAGTGGCTTGCAGTGACAAGTCTGACAAGCCCGTATTTAGTTACACTAAACATCTAGCTGTTCTTCCAGGAGGAAAGTCCCTAGGAAGACTTAGTCTCTAGGGGTCTTTGTCTCCAGCTGGTGCAGAGGGATTTGGGGTTTGATGGGCAGAATGAATGATTTAGCGGGCAGTTTGGGCACGTCAGAGCACTAAAGCTGGGGGGCRTTTGTCCCAGTGTCGAGCCATCTGTTTTTCTGTTAATCTCTGCTCTTGGCACTGCCCCTGCAAACGGAGGGTRTTCTCGCCTGCTGGTTCCCATTTCATCCTAATGTGTCCTTTCTGAAACACTAAATTTGTTCATCAGTATAATTGGATGCTCCTGTGAAATGAGAAGCATCTCCAAGTATTACTGGATACTGTTTAAAGCAGTGAAAGCAGGATGTTTCTGTTATTGTTATAAGAGACTAAGTAACAAGAAAATYCCATTAATTTAGTATTGTAATGGTGCAGTTTTGCTTTCACAAAGCATTTTGTAGCTTTCAGTCCTCTAAAGACTTGAGAATTGAGTTGAACTTGTAGCTTTTAGGAATTTCTCTTTCCAGGACGTATCTGAGTTYGGTAGATCTGTGTAAATCCAGTTGGTTTCAGTGCTTTTAGAATCAACTCTGAGATCCAGATGCAGCCTGTTTGGTTTCTGGTATATCAGCTTTACTGCCTACAATAAAAAACAAACAAAAAATCACTTGCTCTATACAACTAAGAGTTTCGAAAGAGTATTTTGTTTAAGTTTCCGAGGAAAATGTGTCTGCCTTCATTCAGAGAGTAAGTGTGGCAAGCTTGAAATCTTTTTCTCTTCCCTCCCTCACCCCTGGGATGTTTTGTTTCTGGTAGATACCTACTGCTGCCTCTGTGCCAGCATGCTCCCCGAAGCGTTGGTGTTTCTTTGTCAGTGTTTAACCCTCTGTGGAGATGCCCAACTAATGCTTGCCCAAAATGCAAGTAACAGAGCGGCGTATCTYGAAGAATTTAACTACCAGACGAAAGAAGATCAGGAAATACTGCACAGTCTCCACAGAGAATCCAGCTGCCAAGGTACGATGCTCATGTAAGAGCGGACAGTCCTCATTCAGTTGGAATGGGCGTAAGTAACCTCACTGTTTCCTTAAAAATAGGTGGCAGTATCAGTTATGGAGCTTGTTGTGCTTCATTTCTATTTCTCTTAGAGAAAGCTTATAGTACCTAGAAGAAGATCTTCAAAATACAACCTCAGGCAAATCATACATTGTAAATAACTGAAAATAATCATTGAAGTAATGGATAAATTCTTTCTGACAAGAAGAATTGGAGGAAACTTTGGATGTAGTTCATCTTACTGGACATTTTCCTCCAGACTATTACAGACTGCTCTTTTGGAAATGCTTTCCAATTTGAGGTTTGTGTTTTATTTTCTAGTGTTTGCATGGGCCACAGACTTGTCTACAGACTTGGAGTGCCAACTTTCAGTCAGCTGTAAATGTTATGAGGCAGCCTACGAAATTTTACTTTTCAGTAATTTGAAAAATCAAAATCCAGAGCAGCACATACAGGTACTAAAGAGGATGGGCAATATCAGGAATGAAATTGGAGTGTTCTACATGAACCAGGCTGCTGCAGTGCAGACGGAGAGAGTGGGCAAGTATTCTTTATTGACTTTTATATTTATTAAGAATTTGGCTGTGCTGTTTCACTGAAGTACAATAATGATTATAGTTACTAATATTGCATGGGACCTCGGCCTTTCGGATTCGGGGACACAGAGGGAACATTTAAAGAAGAAGTATCTGTGTTGATATTAGATTAGGATCTTCTGTAGAGAGTTATGTGAAAAATAACATAATAGAAATGCTTGCTYAGTATCTTTTAAGAATTTTGAATGAAATAAAGCTTGTGTTTTGCTCCTAGTGAGTAAAAACGTATCAACAGCAGAGCAGCAACTTTGGAAGAAGAGCTTCTCTTGCTTTGAAAAGGGAATTCAGAATTTTGAGTCAATTGAGGATGCAACCAAYGCAGCTCTCCTGCTGTGCAACACAGGAAGACTAATGCGAATCTGTGCTCAAGCCCACTGCGCAGCTGAAGGCGACTTCAAACGAGAGTTTTCCCCAGAAGAGGCCCTTTATTATAATAAGGTAACTTTTTTTAGCTAGGATCTATACCCTAGTATGCCTTTTATTGTATAATTTCTGTAGATATCCTCAGGGGCTTCAAATAATGATGTTCTTGCAGCAGAGATGTTTGTAAATTATCTAAATAGCAACTACAAAATTATAGTGGGTTCCAAAAGTTTCTGTTAGTTAAGATGTGGAGGAAAATAGCAGTCTACTGGAAATCTTACTTTTAAGAGTTAAGAGCAAATTAGTACTGTGGACTTTWATCCCAAAATAACAGATGGTCCCCAAAACATTCTTAGAATAAAAAGCAAATATATCTCTGGTAAGTCACTTGGATATTGCACGGGAAAACCAGGTGGTCAAAGGTGCGTTTTCAGAGTAATTTCACTTTGTTTTAAAGRTAAGTCATAGTAACTTGTACTGTCTTTCTTTTCCATTACCCTAATCCTAACTAAATAAGCTTGAGGCTTAGTTGAAAAAGTAGCAGTTTAGCTTTTAAAATATAAATACTTCATTCTAAARTGGCAACTTATTATAGTGTAGTGTTGATCTCTGCACTTAGACGTGTTAATTGTTATTGAGATTACTGAAAAAAGCACCACACAGGTGTTTTCCTCTCTCTCTTCTCCCACTCTATGTCTGTCTGAACTAAAATCAGGTAAGTTAATAAAGAAAACCTGTTTAAAATACCATTTTACTGTTTGGATAAGGACTTTAAAGCTTTCAGCAACTTTTAATGGTCCGTAATGGTTTAACGTCTTGGAAAGAAGAGAGCAAAAAATTGTGGGCCTGGAAAATGAATTAATAACAACAGAATTTAAAGTCGATTCGTTCTTAATACAACAGCAGCATTTCTGGTATTTTCTCCACTTGTCCACTAACTGCCTACAACTGCTTTATGTTTTAACTTGGCCAATTGAACTTTGCAAATACATATCACAAGCCCTGAGGTAGACAGTGGTAGAAATTTGGCCTCATTCTTTAACACAGTGAGAGTGAAGGAGTGCTTAAATAAAGCCCTGAAGCAGGAGGAGGAAGAAAATAAAAAGGACAGAGAGAAACTATCTGAAATACTTTTTGTCAGTCGCTGCTTGTAGCTATTTGTGGTTTCACAAATGCATCTTTTTTTTTTTGTGGTTTCTAAGATTAAGAAGATTCAGTTGYTGCTGTTTCAGCTTCATTCCCTTCCTCTGAGTGCTGTGATTTCTGSTTCTCCTCATATTGCCAGCTGGTAAATGTGGGAGATAAAAGTGCCAGGCTATGATTTCCAGTGTGAATGGATATAAGGAAAATACTGATGTTATGCTATAGGRGTTGAATTTACCCTTGAGAAAAACTAAAGGGGAATGGATTTCTAGTGGATATAAATATGCAGTAACTATATTGTTTTATAATCTATAGGCCATTGACTACTATCTGAAGGCATTAAGATCTCTAGCTAAGAGAGAGAGGCATCCAGCTGTTTGGGATTCCGTAAACTGGGAGCTTTCTACGACCTATTTCACGATGGCAACTCTTCAGCAGGATTACGCTCCATTATCTAGAAAGGCTCAGGAACAGGTAAGAGGTTTTGTGACAACAACTGACAAAATAAGCKATTGTCTTCATTAAAAATGAATGGTAAGCAAAATTGATGGTTTGTGATATTGGGATACCTTGTAAAGCTTTAGCGGATAAAGACTACTTGGAAGTAGTTCTTGCCAACTTGTTTAGTCATGAATGTGTGTGTATTTCTTAATGAAAAGATGGTTCCACAAATAAAGATGAAGCCCTTACCCTTTCACTTGGTGAATGTTCTTGTTTCAAAGTGGTGACACTGTCCTTTTTCTTCCCTTATAGATAGAAAAGGAGGTTAGTGAAGCCATGATGAAGTCCTTGAAATACTGTGATGTGGACACGGTGTCTCCCAGGCAGCCTCTGTGCCAGTATCGGGCTGCGACCATCCACCACAGGCTTGCTTCCATGTACCACAGCTGCCTGAGGAACCAGGTACTGGCCCCAACAGTTTTGTTCTTTCTCTGATGTGGGACAACTTMTATTCATTTTTTCTATATAGCTGGGATAGAGCTGGGATATGCTTATTTAAATTTTTARCTTTAAAAATTGCAATTTATCTGCAAATTATTAGAAAGTATATGCTTACTTTGGAGAGCAGAGTGTCTTTGTAAAGCATATTAAGGTTTATGGTTCCATGTCTTCTAGGTACTTCTATSTTCCCATAGTGGAAATGGTTGATGACAAGTACTTAAAATACTTAAATTTCTTTGGCTTGCATGCTACGCTTTTCAGACTTGTACGTTTTCTAGCAGGAGGCTGTTTGCATATGATTTAATAAATCTTAGAAAACAGAATGCAACTGTATGATGACTTTTTATGGTAGTTCTCTTTGATTAGCTTAATTGCACTCGTCGTGAATTTGTTAGCACTAGCTGTGGAAAATACRGTAACTTTGGCAATCTGGTGATCTGTGCCAGCATTTAGATAAACCGTTTCCATATGAGCTGGGGAGTGATTGTTGGTATCTGTAAGCAGGTTTTCTTTAATGCTTCTACCTATGAATTATCTGGATACTTATGTACCTTAGGTTGGCGATGAACATCTGCGGAAGCAGCATCGTGTCCTTGCTGAGCTCCATTACAGTAAAGCAGTAAGACTCTTCCAGCTCTTAAAGGATGCGCCCTGTGAGTTCCTGCGTGTGCAGCTGGAAAGAGTGGCGTTTGCCGAATTCCAGATGGCGAGTGAGTCCAGCTCTGTAACTGTTGTCTAAAATACCTTTAAGCAMGTTATTCTGGTTTTAGATAGTCCCGTTCATGAAGGCAGGAATCGCCTCTCAAAAACACCTTTCTCTTGAAATCAAGACGACTGTATTTCGTCTTGCAGGTTTTCAATGTGCACCCTGGAATGCAAGCTTTTTTCTTTTTTCCTTCTTTTAGGTCAGAGCAGCAATGCTGGGAAATTAAAGACTTTGTTTGGAGCTTTGGATATAGTGGTGAAAACCAAGTGTGCATTTCAGCTCATCAGAAAAGAGCTTGTAGCAGAGTGTGAACAGGTAAACAAAAGCTAAGGGAGCGAATAGGCGGGTCATTTACCTTGTGCATTCCCGTAAAACTTGGAGGTTGCCTGGTTATTTTTTAGTAAATTCAGTTGCTTCAACAGTATGAATGGGGTTTCAACCTATTACAGTAAATGGAACTGGATTTAATATTTTTTGATGTGTTGGATGCAAAGCTTTTTCTTTTTTCTTTATTTCATGCAACCTTAGAAAGTGCCTTGCATTTTGTTACTACTGTAGCTGATTCTTTAAATGTTTGAGCTTCTGAATTGCCCTGCGCTACAGAGATTGACTGTAACATGTTTAATTATGGAGATATCGACTCTCTTTTTGAGCAGTTTGGATTACACRGAATTGTATCCCTTAAAAGTCCTTTTAAAGAACTGAAGGACACATACACAACATAAATAAGAATTCTCTGTGTGTAGTACATCTAATACTAAAGCATTACAGCRTGGAAGGTTGTCTGTAGCCAGTGCTAACAGATGCTTGAAGCATAAATAAAAAATTACCCGCTCTACTTGCTGATGCACGCTCATCCTTTSTCTGCTCAAGTGCTTGTTTTCCTGACTAAAACCTACTGTGACAGTGGGCAGAGCAGCTGGCATCGCCTCTGGACAGCGTGGGGTATGATGCTAATGACTGAAGCCGCTTAACGAGGGCATCGTAGCAGTGGTGATACTGGGAGTGCTCTCCTAAAGCTCCCCAGCAAGTTGCTCAGTAAATGTGGYAGTGCAGCTGAGCTGAAACTCCTTCTGATGAGGGAGCCGAGTGAAATGATTTTCTTTTCTTGCAGCTAAACAAGGATAAAAATAATGCTGAGAATACGACATCTAATGATTCCTCTGCTGGCCTTAACAAGGAAGAGGTGTTGAAGCTGCTTAGCATCTTTGAGTCCAGGATGTCATTCCTTCTCCTGCAATCTGTTAAATTGTTAACTTCAACCAAAAAGAAAATTGGGTAGGTTGAACCTATGTATGCGTTGGAAAACAGCATTGTCTAGATGCAGTTCTCGCACCTGAATTGGCAACTATGTACTGGGGCACATTGCGTGAAAGGCGATCTTCACTTCTGCTTTTTARTGGCTTTGACTCTTCTCTACTTGGGAAGAATAGAGTTCTGCCTTGATCGTGCAAAGTGTCAATGTTTTATGCGTGGGTTTTGTGAGATATTGAGGGAATGGCCCAAGAGGAACGTTTGTGGTGTGTAACTGGGCAGCTTTTTTGCCTGTTCTTTTCTGATCTTTCCTCAGGAAAGAGAGGAGACAAAAATTAGACCTAGCATACAACTCATCTTCTGATAGATGATAATAAAACATACCAGTGTATTTTAGCATGCCAAGCACTGCAGAATCACTGTAGGAACATCCCTAATGCCAAGGAGAGAGGAGGATGCACATGGGGGAAATATTCCTGGGTATGAAAGAATTTTCTGATGCCTAAGGGAGCCCCATGAGGGAATCCTGTGTGGTGCTGCTGGGGGCTCAGAGCAGCAGTCGGCYCCTGAGGGCTGTCATTAGTCTGGGTGACCTTAGTCCTTGCCCAGGGTTGTTGCTGGCAGGTGGGTGTGAGCGCRTTGCGTGGGGTCCAGGCAGAGCCTTTCTTGGTCACAGTTGTGTGGGACAGCAGAGGCTGCAGCAGCGTGTTACTGCGATGGCCTCTGCTACCTCACGTGACATTAATGACACTAACATAGCATGAGTTCTCGTGTGGAGCATTCTAGGGGTTCTTTTGCTGCTGGAAGTTGTGTTAAACACCTTGCAGAGTGAAGCGCTGCTCCTGTTAGGGCTGTTTTGCCAAAGGTTAATAGTGCCACGAGTTCATGGTTCAGCAGAGTGAGTGCTGCCTGGTGGGAAACGGAGAAACAGGAGAGCAGATGGGAGCTTGGGTGCGTTTTAGCAGGGGCTCAGGTGCCTTGTTGGCTTAAATCCGTTCTAAAGAAAAGCTTCCACAAGGTGGCAATCTCAATGTGTGAAATGCAGAGGGCTGAAGAAGATAATTMATTTCTAATCAAGTAGCTGCCCCAGGTAACTGAATAGCCCTAGCAACAGTTTCAGTTTTACTGTCTCGTAACCTGGGAATGAGACATAATAGAACAAATCTTTGTGGCTTTGTGTGTATCACTTTTTCTAGATGCACGTTCCCATCATAGTGTCTCTCTTGAATGTGGTTTTGTAATGAAAATTTCATACGCAGGGAATACATTTCAGTGTTAACGCAAATATTAGTAAGCAGGAATAACAAGGGTAGTTTGAGGCTAGGCTTAAATCTGTTTTTTTTTTTTTTCCCAATATCCTCCTGCATGGGTCTCCTTTACACTTCCTCTGTTCTGCTTTGTGGTAAATCATCTCTGCCTATGGTTTTAATAAGAGGCAGGCTGGAAAGGGAGGAAAAGAACTTGCAAACCCTGTTTGAGTCTGGATTCACTTTGGCAGAGAACAGAGCACGTGAAGTGAATGGGCAGTGGTGAAACCTGCGTATTAGCAACAAAACAGGGTGACATCAGTTTTACCATCTGAAAGCTAAAGGCGTAAAGTGTAACTGAATTTGGCTACGTAAATTAGAGGCAAGAGGTAATTGAAAGTAGTGCTTAGTTACGGGGGTTCTGGTAATTTATCCTGGAAATACTTTGCATTTCACTGGCCAGTTCTGTCTAATGAACAAACCTGCGCCTGATTCTGCCAAGTGGTTTCGAGGGCAGAACTACGAGCAGGCAATTGCACGTGAGCAATAAAACCTTGTGAATTTCCCTCTGGCATCTCCTGGATATTCAGGTCTCTGTTAGCATTAGCCACGATCGAGACAGACAATAACTTGGCAACAAGTCTCTACACAAAAATGYAGAGCTTTTCTTGGAGATATCAATCTGGGATGTGGTTTGGGATTAGGAGTTAATGATGTGGCCAGATTGGAGCTGAGAAGCTGGAACTCATCCCTCCTGCAGCATCAATGGAAAGTGGCTGCAGTGCCGTAGAATGATAGGAAACGGGAATTAAGGAAGTAACAGAAATCCAAGCGCCGCCCATCTTGTTTCAAGGAAATAGGGATTAATGCTGTTGTAAATGATAGYTTGCAGAATAAAATAGGATGATGCGTTGAATAGCTGTGTGCTGTCCCCCTTGCTCGTAGGGTCATCCACGAGGAGGAGGAGGTTCTGCGCACCAACAAGCGCGTCTACTCGCTGCTGCTGCGCGCGCCGGCGGCGCGGAGCGCCTCGCTGCTGCAGCGCGTGGAGCTGCTGCTGGGCCTGCTGGAGCAGCTGGCGGGCGCCAGCGCCGCCGCGCCCTGAGCACGCCCCGAGCGCGCCCCGCGCCCCGAGCGCGCCCCGCGCCGCTCTCGGCTTCCCCACGTGCTGCTCGGACTGGCTGCAGGTGGGGAGAGCTTCGCCTGCGTGGTCGCCTTCTCCGTGTGGGAAGAACAGGAATCGCTTCTGTTTCTGGGATAATTCTGCAATAGTTTGGTTACTTGCATTTCTTTGGTTGAAATGCTGACCTGGGGTTCTGGATGTAAACTTGTTTTTTTCGTATGTTGGAAAAATTCACAATTTTCCTCTTTAATGGTAATGGGCTTTTTTGCAGTGATACAAATGTAATCTCACAGTTGCTCTGGTTTGATACTTAAGCTTTGCTTACAAAGTATATTTCATTTACTGGAACACTTTAACCAGTGCTGGGAACTGAAGATGTACAAAAAAATTCCTCTTAATTCCCATATTCCTTGAATATGTGGACAAGCTTCTTCTCCAGTTACTGTCCTGCACAGAAGGAGGTGCCTTTCCAGCTTAGGGCAAGACTCTTGCAAATATTACCCGTCCCTGGGCTTTAATTTACACCAGAAAGTGAATGGCTTTGGCCGTGTTTGGAGTTGATCAAGAATAGTATTTTTCAGATTTGAAACTGTGAATAAATGAGAGCATATTTTTAAATAAAAATTTATTTATTAAATATAAGTCTGGGAGTTAGTCTGTGTTGTTTTTTATTGGCTGTGGCCTTTATGCTTTCATCAGAGAAGCAAACTGCTCAGGAGCATGAAAACGTTTTTAACTTTTATAAATGAAAACYTTAAACAAAAGGTTTTAAAAGAAAACCTTATCTATCTTAGAGCTAGTCCCTGCTGAGAGTGAGCTGAGCGGGCGGGAGGAGGCTGTGGTGCCGCAGGGGGCGATGCTCTTTCTCCGGACGCCCCTCGGTGGCGCGGGGAGCCCCGGGGCTGCTCTCGAGGGGCTGCCCTCGCGTCCCCTCCACCTTCCGCCGCTGTCCCCAGCGCTCGCTCTCGCAGAGCTTCTCCCCTCCTGCAGAGCCTGCAGGGGACACGAGGGCCGCTCCAGGTCCTCAGGCAGTTGTGGATTATTTGGGACGGCCCCTCCTGCGTATCCGGGGCTGTTGGGAGCTGCTCGGGGAGCCCAGCCGTCCTCACAAGGCAAGTGGCAGAGGCCACTGCTGCTTCCCCTTCCCTCAGGGTACAGCTGCAGCCTCCTGCCTTTAATGCCCAGCTGTCCTAGTACCTCTTCTTACAGTATTTTTCTTTAATGATTTAAAAAAAAAATGATTAAAAACCATCAGGAGTGTTCCCTGGGAGGCGTCTGGGGTGGGCGCTGGAGCCTTGGAGGCTCGGGCCGCTCCGTTGAGCTCCAGAGGCCGCGCTGCTCCGGCCCCTGAATCCGCACACACAGCCGCAGGTGCCGCCGTAGCCCCATCCCTCCCTTCACGTGACCTCTTGTTCCAGGCACGAAGCTTCTCCACTAATTGGAAATTCAGGTTGTGTACTTGGAATTAAGAACAGCAAAGAGGGAATTTTTATTCTAGGAATCTCAGCACTTTACTAACACCATGAATGACTTTGGTAAGGATTATAATGGAGTATATTATGATTTGAATCTTCTATGAACTCCTTAGCATTATATGAAGGTAGCAKTATTGCTAAATTAGATTAAGTAATCTCCTTTCATAGATAACCAATTAAACAAACTACATCTAAAACAAACAATTCTACCACCACTATTAACAAGGACAAGCCAGTTTATTTCTCCATTAATAAATCCTCTTTTTACAGGAATAGAAACCAAATCTAAGTGTTAGGATGCTGCACTCTAAGCGTCTATAGTGGCAATAACTGGTCTGCAAGCTGAGCACTGCAAGAATTGTCCTATTCCACTGAGGATGTACAGTCACCACTACAATATAAGTAATATTTGAAAAACATAACAATTGAACAAGTATGTTTGTGATCAGAAATAGTTTATTGTAAATAAGTGTTCTGTTCTTTCACATAAACCAGAAGCTCTGCATGCTTAAGGGGCTGCAGAGGGAAGAGAAAATCTCCTCGTGTGCAGGGTGCCTGAGGTGCCACTTGGGTGGCTGGACGCGTCACTGCTCTACCCGACAGGCATCAGCTCTCCCCAGAAACAGCCACGGTAGGTGAGTCTTTAGAGCAGAGCGAGGCAGCGGCTGCTCCAGCTCCAGCTGACCAGGGGCTCCTCTCGAGCAGGTTGCTGTGGGCGCTGCTGCGCGGTGCGGGTGAGCACAGGAGCGGTGGCTACGCGGGGAGGCCGCCGCGGCGCGGGCCCGGCGCCCTGCGGAGGCCGGCGGTGCACAGGAGCGGTGGCTACGCGGGGA